AAGTGATAGTAGTAAAAATTGGTCTTGTTTGAATATTGTTGAAACCGTTGGAAATTAATACTCCCAAGTTTGCCTCTGTTAATATAGGAAGAGAAAGATTGAGAAATTAGATAAAATTTTTCAAATTGTTAAGAGATAGTGGACTATCCTAAACAGTGTTGCAAAAAAAATAAAAATAAAACGGGGATAAAAGGTCAATGGATACTCTAGACTTAGTAATTGGGTCTCTTCACCTAAGCCAAGTGTCGAGATTCGTGTCAAACAGAAAAAGGGAATGCCAAAGACACTTAACTAACACTTAGTAACTGTGTCTCTTCATCTAAGGCAAGTGTCGGGATTCATGTAAAACGGTGAAAGGTAACAATAAAAATAAGTTCAAGGGTAGAAATCTGTTGTCAGAAATAATAAGAAGAATACCTGTCTGATTTTAAAATCAATCTATCTTATCAAGACAGTTTGCAAATGAAAGGGTAAATAAGATTTTTTAAGCTAAGTTTCTGTAATATTCAAAACAAGACAGTTTTTACCCCTAAAGTCCAATATTGATCTATACAGTGTTTGAGAATGCTAGAATCAGGATGCTTGATTAATTTTGTTAGGGATGATCTTGAGATGGGAATGATATATGCTCAGTGTAATTTTAAGGCTGCATTGCTAAGGGACTAGCAATGGTTAAGTTGGGGGTTGTGATAACCATGCATTTTGATGCTTTAATGGCATCAATTCAGGGGTATTTTCGGCCTTAGAGTAGTCAAATTGTGTATTTTTCCCAACTAATTTCAATGTTGTGGCATCTGAGGGTCTCTATGCAAAACTGGGAAGTTTTCATGGCTGAAATGTAGATTTTGGGAAGCTGGTGTGAAGTCCAATTGAGATAGGGGGTGTTTTTGTGAAAAACTGAAAGCAGGAGGGCGCCTCCTAGCTACTAAACCCAATTTGGCGCCCCTCCTACTGTATTAGCATGCTCCCCACGCCTTAGCAAATCCTAGGACGCCTTTTAACCCATTCTTTTCACTCTTAACAAACCCTAGCCGCCCCTAACTACTAAATCCTCACCTTCCATCCCTATTAATCTCCACCATCCATTCTAGGGCACTCTTTTTAGCATTCTAACACTAGGAGCCACCTAACTTCTAATCTTCACCATTCAACCTTTAGCCATTAAATCTCAGCCTTACATAATATTGGGTACCTTCTTTTTTTCTCAGTCTTAGGATCACCCTAGAATCATCCTAACCCTTCATTCTAAATCATAGGGCACCCATATTTTTGCTAAAACCTAGTTGTCACCCCCCTCTTTCTCTATAATCACAATTGTATCCACCATTCTCTATAAAAAAGACCCAAGGGCTCCAGAGAAAGGGTTGGATTCTGCCCCCAAGTAAGACGGAAGGTTGATCTTGAGAAATTCAAGGGTAGAGGAAGAGGAGGACGCCCAGGCAAGAGGAGGGGTTCCTACTTGCAGTTTGCCAACACCACTACTGCCACCTCTGGAATCGGATCCCAACCACTTTTACTTTATTTTAGTTTTAATTTCTATTCTTTCAATTCTAGTTTCGTTATTTACTTGCTGCAATTTATTTTCATTCTGTTTGATCTTCGTTTTATTTTCTACAGATCTGCAATTTGGCCAGGTAAGACGGAAGGCCTAGCTCGAGAAGTTTGAGGTTCAAAGGAGAGATCCGAAGACTACTACCTCTGATCAGATTACAGATTTTTATTTCGTTTCTTTTGTTAATTTACTTTTGTATTTATTTATGTTCTGCACTTTTAACTTTCAGTACTGTTCGAATTTTATATTTTTTTCAATTTAATTAATTAATTTATATATTTTTGCACTTCCCTCTTGTGTTCTCTTGTCTAGATTTGAGTGTATATTAGTAGTTGTTTGAGAAACGGTAAAAATTATAAATGTTTAAACTGGTGTTCCAGAGTGTTTAACAACACGTTTCTGGACACACCACCCCTCCATCCCTAATGTCCCTTATATGACTGCAAGAGTATTCCATTTTGAATAATAGGAGGGCGCTAGAGAAGATTGAAACCACAACATTGACACAACAGTTTTTCGGAGGAGAAGAGGGAGGTTACTTTTACACTGATGGAGAGTTTGAGAGGTTTTTACATCATTTTTTTTCGATGTAATCTTCACATTGATTATTGATATAAAAATATATTAAATGCTCATTTACATCAATTATCATTCTTATTTTACATTCCATTCAAATACATACAAAAGCGAACTAGAGTATAAAACTACATTAAACTAGGTTTTACATCACAAACAAACACAGCCTTAAGAATAAAAGAGAGATTTAATGGGAAGAGGTAATGTTACAAAACATTGACTATATACCAATATATTATTTATTAAAAGATAAAGCAATGATTCATTCAATCCAACCACTTCAGTCGTTCAAAATCAAAATGAATAGACATGGGGTAAGCTTAACGCAGGCACTGCTTAAGAAAATTTTTATTGATTTTTTGGTATTTAATTGTATGCCTAAATCTCTCATAGGAGTCGTAATTCTTATTTTTTTCTTTTAAATTGCAGACCAATAGACCATGGGCCGAGTAGCTCAACAAGCCAGTCTGGCCCGACCTATTCTGGGTTGGGCTCGGAGATGACTTTAGGCTTGTGGTCTCAGGCTCACGCCCAAAACACCAGGTTTGACCTTTTTTCAGGCTGATTCGGACTTTTTCAGAAAAATCTAACCCGAGCCCAGCTCTAACTTAATAATATATTATATAATAAAAAATATATAATATATTTTTCTTTATTCCTTTTTTAAATAATAATAAGATCTTTTATATTTTTGGATTTTAAAGTTTTTTAATATAAATAAAATAATTTTTTTATAAAATAAACAAATTTTTTTTTCAAATTACTGAACAGGCTTGGGCTCGGGCTGGGGCCTACAGAGCACGACCCGAATCTAACCCATCGACAGGTTTACTAACCAAAACACCCATCGACAATCCAGCAGGGATAATTTTTCTTAATTCATTAATAGTTCGACCCAGGCCCGGTCTAAATATTTATCTTATTGCATTTAAATGGATCGTGGAGATAATTTTTTATTCAAACGAAAAAGAGTCCGTTCCTGACGTGTGTGAGTTTACGTGGTGCAAGCTCAACGCACGCACCGCTTAAGAAATATTTTATTGAATTTAGTTCGGTCCGAATATTTATCTTTGCTGCATTTAAATGGATGGCCCGAGTGCCCGATGCCAACACGTGTCGTCGAAAAAAATCCAAAATATTGAACGGGTCATAGCCACCAAGTTAATAGATTTAGGGATTGTTATGAATCCGATCGTGACTCCAACACATCCATGTAAAAACATCCCAAATATTAAATGGGTCAAACTGACCAAATTGGTAGATTTAAAGGTTGTTTGGTACTACGGATCATTTGGTAAATGGTGTAAATTATTTGATTCATTCCACAGTGCAAAAAGTGTTCATTTGAGTCATGGTTGGCTACTTTGGTTCAGTTCTGGGCTTTACCTTAATTTTTCATCCACATTTAAATTTCATGGATCAATTTATGTCACAGTAAAGTCTTGCAATAAATTAGAGGTATTTTATTAAAATTTTTGTTGGATATCCTACTCACTATTCTCTATCCATGTTCTGCCTTAAATTACAGCCACATATAGCGATCTTGTATTGTGAAATGTGCGGTGGCAGTGTAGTGTGTTTAGGGTGCTACTCTATCCTGTCTTGAATTATATAACGCACATATCTATCTTGTATTGTGAAATGTATGGCCGCAGTGAATGTGTGGTGGAAAGTGCCCTACCGCCTTGAATTGCAAATACACATAATGATATTGTATTGTGGAATGTGTAGTCGCAGTGAAGTGTGTGGTGGAAAGGGCCCTATTCTACCTTCGCCTTGAATTGCAAATGCACATGGTGATTTTGTATCGTGAAATGTGTGGCCGCATTGTAGTGTGGATAGGGCGCAGGCAAATAAAGTGAGTTGGAAATCAGGATTCTCTTTAATTGCGTGGGAGGAGACTGAATCTACTATTCATAAGATAGATGCTGTCTTATATATGGCATTTAAGGTTTAAAATGTCGTGTATCGACCTATATCAAATGATATATATTGTATTGGGGCCTTCCCATACACTTCTACAGAAGGTATATCAAGTCAAGTCATGATTCAGAGGTAGCCGAAACTTAAATCGACTCCTCTAAATCAGTTTTGAAAAAAAAATAAATAAAACATAAAAAAAACAACAATATAAGCCAAACTTTTGTGGCACTATAAAAAGATTGAAAGTATTGTTAATTTTGTTGATACACAACATTTTGTAAAAACGGTGTGAGCACAATAGGTATTTTGTTGAAAATTTTGTCTGGCTAAGAATCTACACCATCTTCATTAATCAACAACACCACCATTAATGTTCGATTCTCAATTTATCAAATACCGCCTTTTAATTTAAGCCGAATTTCCTACCCATCGTGATCTTATATTGTGAAATGTACAACTGCAATGTAGCGTGAATAGGGCGCAGGCAGAAAAGTGAATAGCAAATGTGGGTCCCTTTAATTAATTTTATGAGAGGATATCGAATCTGTTACTCACAAGACGTTATCTTACACATGGAACTATAAAAAGATCGAAAGTGTTGTCAATTTTGAACCGTGGTCTGCGGGGGAGACCAGGATATGCTAGCTAGTCACACTTAAGCACAAGATGCTACAGCTGTACATTGGCTGTTGGGTAGTAGATGTGGACCCCATTTGCCACCGCTTTCAACAAAAGAAGAGGAAACGTTAGCAATAGCATTGAAGGAACCTACATTCTAACATCGTCCACTTTGGTTTGGTTGGTGACATAATATCAGAGAATCTATATTTGCTGTAACCCTTCATCCCATAAATTTTAAATTCTTGTGATGATCCCCGTTGGCTGTTGCTGTTTTGTTTTAAATTCAAGTCTTGTCTTCGAGAATAAAAGCTACTGAAAGCAAAAGCAATTATTCGTGCTGCTTCATGTATTTAATTCTCTGCTGCCGTTACATTATTACATTAATAATAAAGTCGGGGGTGGATCTGGATTTTTGTTTTTTCTTCTCGGGTTGAATCCATCCTGGCCCGGCCCAGATTGTGTGCCCAGAGGCCGAGCCCATAAAAATAAAATTGCCCATTACATCAAAATTCAAAACAAAACCAAACACTCCAAGTCTAAAGTCTTTTAAAAACTAACAAAAGTTTTCAACATCAGGCAGCTACAGCTATATAAGTGTAGTGATCATCATCATCATCTTGATCGTCAAAGTATGCCACCAACGGTGATAGGATAGCGATCGATGCAGTCATACCATGGGCCTCTTTTCCTTTCATCGATGTCCCTTAGGCACTCCCACACAACGCTATTGGACTTGGGCCCAGTACCCATTCCAAGCTGCCACACCTTGTCACCTATCTTCACGCTCTCCTTGGCTTCCATGTAAGCCAGCTCGTACCACATCGCCGACGACGACAGGTTTCCGAACCGATGGAACGTCATCATCGCTGCTTCCATCTCCTCTTCGCTCAGCTTCAACCCTTTACCTATCTCCCTGATTACCGCTATCCCCGATGTTGGTATGCAGTAATGCCGTATCACAGACCTGAAGTCTGGCACGTAAACACCTTTACATGGGTTGATGAATCGCTGCCGTAGTACCGAGAGACTATGACGGACCTTCTCTGATAAAGGCAAGATCGATGCACCGAGAACTGTTGCGTTCGACCGGAGTGTCTCGCCGGCGACCTTGAGTAAATCTCGGGTGAGGGTAACCCCGGTTATGCCTTTGGAATCCTCCTCCCGTATTGCGGAGAGGTAGGCTTTATCGTCGAATGCTCTCTGAGTTCTCACTGTTCGAAATAACTTGTATTTCGACGTCTCTTCGGCTTCTTTTCTGTTGGTAAGCAAGATTGCAGCACTACCCATGCGGAAGAGGCAGTTGAGGAGCAACTTGGATCGCTCGTTTCCGTCGTACCAGCCGGTGGAGACGATCTCCGTGCTTAGAACGACGGCGTAGGAGTTCCTGTGAATCTTTAGCAGATTGCTGGCGAGATTGATGCCGATCGCCCCAGCACTGCACCCCATTCCAGAGAGGTTAAAGGTCTTAATGTCAGCTCTCATGGCGTACCGGTTGACGACGATGGAAGAGAGAGAAGGAGATGGACAGAAGCCGCTACAGTTGACGATGAGGATGTCGATGTCACGTGGAGAAATCTTAGTTTTGCAGAGAAGGTCGTCCATGACAGGGAAAAGGACCATATGGACTTCTTTAAGGCATTCCAGTTGGTGGGTTCGTGGTGGGAGGAAGTGCAGAGAAGGTGGGAGGTAAGTCTCTTCTCCTTGTCCAGATGTAGTGATGATTTTGGCCATGAAAGCGACACTCGCTTCGTCGAAGCTTTTCATCATGGCAACATGTTCGATGAAAGTCGAGAAAGGGACCCTGCAGAAGCCGGGCGGTCTGAGACAAGAAAAATCAACCAGATAAGTAGGGGCCCTTGAAAGGAAGCGTTCAAACGCAAGGTATGCAATTAAACAAGACAATGGCAGGAGATGACACATGGGTCTCCATCGATATAGGAAGAAACTAGCTTCCATGAAGACCACAACTGAGAGAGTAAGAAATCCGAGGAAATCGAAAAGCAGCGGAAAGACATAGTTCAGTAGGAGGTTCGAAGGGAAACTGCTAATGAAATGGGTCGACTGAGGGTCGTTATTGAGTTTGCAACGAGCTTCCATGATCATGAGAGACAGGAAAGGAGGAGGGGCTACTCTCCGTTCGTGACCAGAGAGAAGATTGGAGAGTGAGAGAAAGAGACAGAGATGTTATTTAATTCATCAGAGAAGAGGGAAGGCTGAAGAGTTCAACTCAATACTTAAAATGGGAGGAGGATTAAAGGAGACCCACTTTGTACGTCCACATCAGGCGGTGGGGATTTGTGCTTCCTCCACAAGATGGCACAAGCATGAAGTGAAACATGGCGTGTGAGAGTTGTGATGATCTCCAGATCACGTCAACCTTTGTTTGTTTATGAAGATAAAGATGAAGCTCTCTCTATTCATGACCATTGATAGCAAACAGTGTGAGTCATCAGTCGGCTCTCTCTCGACTAACAAAACTTAGGAAGTTGGGAGAAACCGAGAGTAGGGGAGAGGGCCATGGCTTACACGCCTCTGCCCTACACATACATCTTATTGGTCCATGCTGAGGCTCAATAGTATTTTGCCACGTGGAAAACCAAGGCTATATACGGAGCTCCTCTTTAATGGGTCTGCCAAATGGTGACCAATCTTTAATGTAAAAGTAAATTAGGGTTTACTTTTGCAAGCTAGAAAACTCTTGTTTGAATTCTACTTCTCTGCAACTTCAATTTCAATGAGTTTCTTCCTTTTTCAAGCACATTTCTCCTCGCCTTGTCAAATATTTGTTGTGCTGGCTGAATAAAATATCCATTTGATGAGGCACAGCTGACAGATGATCATATGAGTCAATAATCAGACCTAACATTTGGCCATTTTTTTTTTCATGGATCGGAAATGGCTGCTCTCATATTCGAATTCTCATGTTGGTCGGAACTCAGAAGAATATATATATATATATATATATAATTTTACCATGTTGAGGAAGGGTTGTAAGGGTTGTAAGGTTGTTCTTCGAGCTCCAATCTACTAGGATCGAAGAAATATATATACTCCTACTCCAATTCCATTTGTTTTAAATTAAAATAAAACTATTACAAATAAGCCACCATTTTTGTTATGTACTGTTTTTCTTTTTCTAAAAGCTGAACTAGAAATGTTAATTACCAAAGGAAAAAGTAGGAAATGTGTAATTAATTCCGGGTGGTCTCTCATGTTTTATTTCTCGTAAAACCCCCGATACATGTATCCAATTTAAATGTGGGTTGTTGTTTGTTTTGGTAATCAATGTGGGTTGGTATGATCATTGGAGCTTTAAAAGCAGCACAGGTAAGAGGATTCATACTTTATAGAATATTTTAGTGTACATGTATTCCACAATTGAATAGTGTCAACAAGTTTTACTTTTTCAAAATTTGTGTTTTTTGTTGGTTTGAAAAGTAATGCTATGTTTTAATCAAATTGAAAATATTTTCACTTATTTTTATTATTATTATTATTATTATTATTATTATTATTATTATTATTATTATTATTATTATTTGCTGATGTAGCATTTTTTATAAAGAAGAAAAGTAATGTTGAAGATTGAAGAATACCGGCCCCTGCCCTTAATTCGATATTGGAAAATGATTTTATGATAATAAATTGTATGCCCAAAAATTCTCATAATATGCTTAAAAATCATCCATTTTTTTAAACATGCATGCTGATTTAATTTGGGCATGACTGATGTTTTAATTAGGACCCATTTAAGGGTGAATCCTTGAAATTTGAACTGAATTAAGACCCGCCATCTTTACATCCCTTGTACATGGATATATATATATATATATATATATATATATATATATATATATATATATCCAAGATGCTCTTCTCTTTTATTGTATTCCAACTTTGTACTACTCTTTTCCTATTAAATACAACTCTTTTCTGATAGAGATAGATCTATCTAAGTACAGTTCTTTGAAATTTCAATTTTCAATTAAAAGAAAAATGATATCAATAGAAAAAAAAATTGAGTCATTTTCCTTCATATAGCTTAACTACTGTTCTTAATGCTGAAAAATTAATGTCACAAGATTTGAACTAAGAGGATTGCCCCACTTTCAGAAAAATAGACTTAAAAGAAGATAGGGCTACCAAAGGGCTTCCTTGATTCTTTGCTATTGATCCATTTCTCATTCTAAAAAGAATAAGGCCAAGGGAGCAAAAAAAAAAATTCTGTAAGCAAATAATTCATATAATTTCAGTTTTGCCCAGAATGAGCAAGTTTTTTGTTTTGTTTTATTTTATTTTTGAGAAGGGAAAATGGCGAAAGCTTTTGGAAAACAGCATTTTCCACATCCATTTTTTAGCAACCAAATACCGTCAGGCAACATTTTTTTTTCATTCATTTTACATGCAACCAAATGCTAAAATTGCGACAGGATCTCCTGAAAGCAAAACCCTGTGAATAAAGATGAACATCCTAGCACATTGGTAACATCTCCTATGAATTCAAAATAGATGTAGGATTTCATGTTCTCAAAGTTTTTGCTTTCAGGAGATCCGGACTTCAACCAAACAGAAACCCTACCAATTGGGAAAAGAGAGAAGGAAAGTTGTTTATAGAAGTCCAAGGCCAAGAAATATGAAATCTTCCACTAGGTAAATAGAACCCCATTGATTTCCCTGTCATAGTTTTATATCGATAAAATTTTGATTTTGGTGAAGGTTATTGGCATAACATATAAAATATAAGAGCTTATTCCATCCGAACTTTCAGGACTTTGGCTATTTACTTTTACAGAAATTTCAGCATATTATTACCTTAACAAAATAAATATAAAAACACTAGATATTTAATAAAATAATTAAAATTAAATAAAATTTCATAAAAATGCCTAAAAAGGGTCTGAAACAACCTGAAATACCAAATATTTAAAAACTTGTTCCATTTGTTTCCTCTCCCACCTTTTTAAGGGAACCTTTATTGGCACTTTTAAGGGTATAAGTATCTAGAGCTGTCACTAGACCTGTTCATGGGCCGGGCCGGGCTGGATTCGGGCCGGGCTTTCACTCTGTATTAACAGATTTTTCTAAGGCCCGAGCCCGAAATTTATCCCATGTTACTGCTGAAGTGGCTGAATAGAGAGAGAGAGAAATTATAAAGAAAAAAATAGAAAAATGTATATATTAAATTATAAATAAATATTATATTCTTTATATATTTTATATAATATATAAAATACATATTATGTATTTTATAAAATATATAATGTTGAGTCAGGCCGGGCTTTTTTGACAAATCCCGAGCCCGGCCCGTAACACAGTCGAGCTTACTATGTTAGGCCCGAGGTCAGGCCCACGGGCGTAATTACATGACCAAGCCCGATCGGGGTGCAGGCCGGGCCGGGCCGGGCCATCGGGCTACATGGCCCATAAACAAGTCTACCTGTCACGTTAACTGCATTTGTGGGAGCCTGGGAGGGGAGGGCTGAAGCTCACAAAAATCTTTGGCCGTTGGGGGGGCCAACAACCTATGCTGTTGAAAGTGTTTTTGGGAATGCCACATTACCATGAAAGTGAGATAAAATAATAATTGCCCCTATTTTCTTTTGGCAAAAAGATAGATATGGGCGTGGATGGGTTAACATGTCCAGCCCAAAAAGCTCTCAACAGCATAGGCTGTTGGCCCTCAACAGCCAAATTGCTTCTGAAGCGCAGCGGCTTCTAGCTCTTTAAAGGTGGACCCCACACAGATAGCCTATAAGATTGACTAGCTTATCCAGAGCGCTTCAAAACAGCTGAACCGGTTAGCTAAATATTCAGTTCTGTCCTCCCAAATGGGCACTAAGGCTTGGGAGGACTTTTACACAGATGCTTTTGGTTAGGAATGGCAATGGGGCTGGTTTGGGGCTGGGCACCCCTCCTTGTCTCTGCCCCGAAGTCACGATACCTTGCCCTATACCCGCTCCGTCCGCGGTGGCAGGCTGGGGCGGGTTCGAGGCGGGGCATCCATTCTCCATCGGGGATGGGGAATCCCTGAAATTTTCCCACTCCAAGACAATTACTTAAAATTTGTCTATTTTATGGACAATTTATACATAGGATATAGGAATTTGGGGGTATTTTAGAATTGAATTATAATACTTTAGGGGTAATTCAAAAATAAAATTATGGGATCCTAGGATTTTAAAAATTTAGGGAAAACTTAAAGATATTTTAAATATCAATATTAAACCTAGAAGCATTTTACTAATCTACCTTCGGGTTCGGGGAATTATATGCAAAACCTGTCCCCGCCCCGTACCCGTTTTGGGGAAAAATTATTTTTCCCATCCTTGTTTAGGGTCAGGGAAAACCCACCCAGTTCGAGGTGGGGCCCCGGTTTTACGGGGGAAATTGCCATCCCTACTTCTGTTTTTGTGAGGTGGGCCCCATCTGGATAGCCTATGAGTCATGCTTGGTGAAAACCCAGAAAGCTAAAAATGACTGCCTGGAAGTAGGAATGGCAACAGGGCGGGTTAGGGGCGGGGATTACATTCCCTGTCCCCAATCCTCGTCGGGGAAAGGAATTTTCCACCATCCCAACCTCGACGGGGATGAATTCCCCGTCGGAGACCCGAATCCTCGATGTGACCATTTGGGGACGGGGATGGGGGATCCAAGACCGATGAGAGAGAGAGAGAGAGGACTGTTGTGAGTTGAGGTCGGCGACAAGAGAGAGAGAGTCTGACAGGCGACGGCAACAGCTATAGCGGTCAGCGAGTCGGTGATGAAGATGAAGGAAGAAGAAGAAGTGAATAACTAGGGTTCAAGGTTCTCTGGTTCTCTTTGTTTGTCGAGTGTTTTTTAGAATGAATAGCATTAGTTTTTGTTTTTAAGTTTTAATCTTGTACAAAAAAAATGAATAATATATAATATAATAATATTGTAATATAAATATTATATAAATAATATAATATTATATATATATATATATTAATCGGGGTGGAGGCAGGGCGGGGATTGCATTCCCCATCCCCGTTCCCGAACTCAATTGGGGATTCAAGGATAGCCCCATCCCCGACCCCGACCCTGCCAAAGTACCCCCCATACCCGATCCCGTTGGGTTAGAGAGCCTAGGTACCCGTTGGGAATGGGGAAAATTGCCACCCCAAGCACATGGCTTTCTTCTGAAGCTTCTTTTTAGAGGCTTCTCCAAAGCAGCTGAACCAACGCTTCAGCTCTCCCAAACGGGCCCTAATAAGAAAAGTTATAAGTCCATGATTAATGGCTTCAAAAATTTGAAAAAGCAAATAAACTTTGAACAGTTTGTCTCGCTTAAGTAGAATTCATTAATTCAAATACAATAAAAAGTATTTAGCAAAAAAAGTAAAAAAAATAAATAAAAAGTAGGATTAAGGCAGTAATGGAGGGAGGAACAAAATGCTAACCAAACCCATGTTTGGATTTTGTCAGACTGGATTCATGTCAGCAACTTTGCCCAACCTGACCTCTCTCCCTAAAGTGCATGAACGTCTTATTAACATGGGTTTATGAATTGGGTGCCCATTGATGTATGCGCATGCTACACATTATTTTTATTGTTTTATATATGGTTTTGATAATGATTTTCAATAATTTTTACCCTAATTGAGAAAAATTTCAGGAAACCAAGAGTTTGGGACAGCTTATCAAACAAAATAAAGTAAATTTTGAAATAAA